GACCTCTGCCCTTGCTGTTCCTTCCACCCGGAACATTCTACCACCAGAAGACTCACTCTCTTATCTCCTCTAGGTCTGTGCTCAGTCAGTCTAACCATGACCAGCCTGTTTAAAATAGCAAACACCAACCCACTCCCCTTCCTTCCTTTATTTCTTCTTTAGCACCCGCCTTATACAATATATTTTTACTTATTTGTTGGTTCTTTCTTTCCACTAGTATATACCCTAGCAGTAAGAAGTAGTAGTAGGGCTCGGTCATGTCTGACTCTTTGAGGCCCCAAGGACTGTAGCCCCCCAGGCTTCTCTGTCCATGGGATTCTCCATGCAAGAATACTGGAGTGGGTTGCTATTTCCTGCTCCAGGGAATCTGGATGACCCAAGGATCAAACCTGTGTTTCTTAGGTTTCCTGTATTGGGAGGAGGGTTCTTTACCACTAGCACCACCTGGGAAACCCAGTATATATATATATATCCTCTATTAAAGCAAAGATATATCTGTTTTGCTCATTGCTATATACTTGGCACCCAGGAAAGTGTCTGGTATATTGGAAGAACTCAACACATACTACTGAATGAGTGATGAGTTTAAAAAGCTTTTTGGAGGAACTGGGTTATAAAAGAGGTCACAGAAGTGGAGTGCACATAGGATAAGGTGAAATTTAATTTTTGAGATTTGTAATATGATAGAATGCTTACATGAACATAGAAATGATCCAGAAGAGATAGAAAATTTAACGACATAGGAGAAGGAGGGAAATCTGTGTAGCTCCTGTTGTCAAGTAGGAAAAGGGATGGCACAACTGGAGGGACTAGCCTTAGATGGGAGCAAAGATCATTTATCCACAGAAAGAGGAGAGAAGGGGAAGAGTATAGACACAAATGGATGGGATCTTATAAATTTGTCTGATTGCTTTTGACTTCTTCATCAGTTAATTTCCTTTTTGCATCAGTTGAGATGAAAAAAGAAAAGAGGCAATGGAGATTTGAGAAGGTGTGGAAAGATTCTCTAGAGAGTGGGACTGTCTGTTAATTAGGGGAAGGGAGTAGGACTGCCAGGCTCATTTACAATTAGTTGTCATGAATTTCGAATGAGACCAGTCAGCATGAGAGTGGATGCTCCAGTGTGTTCAGGTATAAATACAAAAAGGTCTAGAGTTGGATTTAAGCAGACTTGGCGCTTGCCAGGCAAACAGGAAGCAATAAGAGGTGAACAAGGTTGTTGATGGTGGATGTAACAAAGTAATTACAGTGATGAACCATGAGATCCACATTTGGTCAGATGGAACGTGAGGATAAGAGGGTGAGGTAGGGTGGATTTGCTAGAAGCATTGTGAAGGTGATAAGGTAAATAAACTGGCCCTTCTGGCAAGTTTGAAGAATTCTTAATTTGTGGAATAAGTTACAAAGATAGGAGGTGTCAGTAGGAGAAGATATTTGAAAATAGGATTATGGAAGGACGCTGTTATTGGCAGCTAATAAGTCAAGGGTCTGACTGCAGAGATGACTGGCTGGGATTAAATGGAAGGCAATCTAATTGGAGAAGGGGTCAAGAATTTAGAGGCCAATGTATTGGAAAGGTCAACCATGTGAATATTGAAAACACCAAGAGTCAATCCAAGTGTATTGTTAAAAAAGGGACAATGGAAAGGTGCAAACATTTTTCTAGACTCTTAGAGCATGACCTAGCATTCCACTGACAGTTTACAAGAAGCAGCAGAAGGTACTATAGGTGTATGGCATTACCTTTAAAGGTAATAGGGGATTTTATGGAGAAGGCATGAGAAGGGATCTGGAATTGGTAATGAGGTGCAAGAAAGACACCTTATTCCCCTTTAAGGCTCAGTAATATGAAAGGTGCCAGCAGCAGAAACATGAATCAGAAGACAGCATTCAATTGGAGCAAGGTAGTAACAGGAACATTCTGAGAAGATGTTGAGAATACAGACAACTGAGATTCCATCAGCAAAAATGGCTTTTACTAGCTACTGTGCCTGACTATCTAGAAATTCCCATTTCTAATGATGATAAAAAGACAATTCAATTTTCATGGGCTGTATTAGTTTTTTTGACTTTCGTCAAAATACCACAAACTGGGTGGCTTAAAAAAACAGAAATGTATTGCTTCACAGTTGTGGAAACTATAGGTCTGAAATCAAGCAAGACCGTGGTCCCTCTTAAATCCCTAGAGAATTCTTCCTTGTCTCTTCCAGCTTCTGATGTTTGCTGGCAAACCCTGGTGCTCCTTGGCGTGCAGATGCATCACTCTAATCTCTGCCTCCATCATGACACGGCATTCTCCCTGTGGGTCTCTGACTCGTCTTCTTTAAGGACACCAGTCACCTTGGCTTCCCTGGTGGCTCAGATGGTAAAGCATCTGCCTGCAGTGCGACAGACCTGGGTTCAATCCCTGGGTCAGGAAGATCCCCTGGAGGAGGGCATGGCAACCCACTCCAGTACTCTTGCCTGGAAAATTCCACAGATGGAGGAGACTACCTACATGGAGGTAGGCTACAGTCCATGGGATCACAAAGAGTCAGACATGACTGAGCAACTTCACTGGTTCACTGGTCATGGTGGATTAAGGACCCACCCTATACCAGTTTGACATCATCTTAACTAATCACAACTGCAATACCCCTATTTCAAATAAGGTCACATTCTGAGGCACTAGAGAGTAGAGGGGTTTCCCAGGTGGTGCTGGTGGTAAAGGAACCACCTGCCAATGCAGGAGACATAAGGGTGTGGGTTTGATCCCTGAGTCAGGAAGACCCCCTGGAGGAGGGCATGGCAACCCACTCCAGTATTCTTGCCTGGAGAATCCCATGGACAGAGGAGGCTGGTGGGCTACAGTCCATAGGGACCCAGAGAGTCAGACACAACTTAGCGACTTAACACACACACACACGTATTAGAGCTTCAACCTATCTTTTAGGGAAATACAACATATCATTTAGGTTAACCACAGCAGAACTGTTGATGAAAAACACTACATTTTTAACGAAATGTAAGTCACTCAGATTTTTGTTCTATGCAGTAAGTGAAGCCTGGTCACCCAAGTGTTTAAGCAATTCCCATTGTTTGTAAAAATGCACACCAACCTAAACAGACAAAAATTGTTATATACTGTGTAAGTGATTTTAAGTCATGTAATATAGAAGTAGCCACTGAAGTCGTGTGATGGTGCCATTGAACCTAGTGGAACCGCCCAGTGAGCTCAAAAGGGAGGCATTAAACTTGTGAGTTGAGGGTCTTGAGGTCTCTTTCACTATTCTTGTAGCTCGATGATTTAAAAATGTTGAGCCAACTAAAGCTCACAAGTCTAAGGGTCTAAGAGTGGGGCAAACTTGCAATAGCATGACACCATTAATATTAACCAGCTGGGCATGTCTTGCTGTAGCTTGGCAACAGGTAGGAAAGGGAGAAAGGTTCTCACTTCCTTCTTTGGTCACAAGTTGAAAGAGTGTCTCAAAAGACTCCAGACTCGGAGAGACTCAACATTGCTACCTTGGTCTCAACCTCCTGGCTGTGACTGTGATCTTTTTCAAAGGGTTGTGGACTAAGAGATGCTACTCTTCTGCAATGGAGAAAACCTAGGCTACATACCCATACTACTGAGAAACCCTAGGCCACATACTGTTGGACATTCTGAACATGCCCAGCTCTACACGACTTCTCTGGCTCACTGCCACTGGGGACCCCAGGCTGGCCTGCATCCTGTGGCCACTGAGGGTTGTTCCTAGGAAATTATTATCCCAGGTCCTGGAAAAAAACACTGAGGGATGATCCTAGCTCTCACATTTAGTGAGCAGATAGATACATACCAAGTCTTTTCTTCCCAATGAACCCAAGTAACATTCACTTCATTTTCAGTGTAACTCATGGCAAATTCTGAACTGGTGATTCTAAATAAATGAGGTATGTTATACTGTGGGAAGTGATCTGGTTATTGACACTCCTTACCTTCTAAGGACAGAGGTGGCATTTCAAATGGTAAAGCTGAGGATTATTACTGGAAGGTAATGTCTTTCATGAAAGATGCAAAATCCAACTGTTTAGTAAGGCATCTTTTTCTCTCCACTTCCCACACAGCTTGTAAGAAATGAAGTCCCTCACTCTATTACTTTAATTGAATTCCAACTTGGGTAGTTACACTATAATTAAATAAATTTTCCCCACAGTTTTAATTCACTGACAAATAGTGCTAGTCAAACAGCTACATTTCACTTCTAGAAATGCATCCCCACTCTATTTCAGTGATGAGTGGAGTGATTTATATTTGGGAGATGTTGTGTATGAAAAATGCACAGTTCATAAAATATTTTAGGTATCATTCACGATTACATATGCTTTTCTCAGCATGAGATAACATTAATTTCATTATAATCTCTCATCTAATTTCTCATATGCCTAGTGCCAAAAAAGAAATAAGATAGGTAATTAGCATTTCTTATTTTCAGAACAAGTTTTGCTACTGGTGTACCAGTAGCTTCTGTTAGTTTTTCTTTTCCTAAAGCATGTCCCTGGGAGCAGACTGGGGTAGGTGTTACTGTTTCCCATTCCACAGATGAAAACATCGAGGCAGTATCCCCAGAGTGAGGAAGCCATTTCCTCTCAGTACCAGCACTGGGGACTAAGCTTTGTCTGGTCCCCTGGACCAAGGCTCTTTCTATCAACCTAGATCACTAGTAATCACTTTAGTCTTACTGATGTGAAAATAAAGTGCAGCGCATTTTTGACCTATGTCACAGGGTGCTAATTTGTAGTAATAAATGATTTAGCCAGGAGTCAGAGGCCTGATAAATGGGTCCTGCTGCTGTCCGCGATTATGAGACTACAGAGATTCTGACTTTGTACAGCTCACCCGGAAGAACAGTTCAAAATATGATGCCAAGTGGTGTAAAAAGATTTCAATTTCAGTTTTTTTTTTCCTAAATATCTTTCTTAAAGGGTTGTAGATGGCTTTCAATGAAAGATATTAAAAACAACATGAAAATACTCACAAAAAGCAGCAGTAGCAAGGGTGTGACAACGATGCCCTGAAAGAAATAAAAGAGAATGATGATCATATATCAGCCTGGAGAGCAGGAGATTTTCTTTGACATTTTAAACCCTGATGCACAGAAATGCTTATCCTTCCTATTTCTGTTTAATAAATCTAGGAGATAAAGAAGAGGGAGCCCCACTCTTGGCTCTCCTGACCACAAGGCCTTAGCATCTCCAGTATAGTTATTCATATCTCAGATCATTTCAAGTACAACTACCAATCTTCCTTCAACTTGTCTTCCCTTTTTCAAGCCTAAGTTCCCTTCCATGTTGCATATGCATCACTTGGGTGAAAGCTGGCAAGCTTTCTCACTCCAAGGCTTTCAACTCTAACTTGGATAAAGTGCCCCCTTTCAAGAGGAGACAGGTGGTTTAGTCCCAGTTGGGGTCCTCTCCTGAGCAAAGACCACGTCAGCTGTGATGAATGAGATGTCGTGATTTTGTAATGTGAACAGATCTCCCTGAGGAAACGAGCTGGGATCTCAAAACTCATTTCACTTGATTAGACTCCATGTCTCCATGGTGGAAGGCAAGTCTTTCATCTAATTCAGCCACTGAGGACCACCTCGGTCCCTCTGTCTCCCTGAAGCAGGAAGGAGCAAAAGATTTGTTTTCTTCGATGACAGGGAACAGTTTGAGGCTGTTGTTGATGAGGCAGGATACAAGCTTTTAGGTTTCTTAAAGGTAAATCTAAAACTAGGTGTTTGAGTTGGGAGTTAATATGACAGGTCTCCGTTTTAGAGCAGCAGCCGATGATTTGCAACCTTAGTTGTTCCTTTATCTTGCAACACTTTATTATGATTTATAGAAGAAAAAGCATTTCATCCTTTTATTAGCGAATTCTACTTGGACCTTTAAAATTCCAAAGAGTCTGTGAGTCTGCGTGTGTGTGTGTGAGACAGAGACAGACAGAGACAATACTGTGACCAGGATCCAGTTTTGGGACCTCTCCGTTACTTTTGGGGAAAAGGTCTTTTGGTATTAATATATGGAAGCCCTTTTGTCATTACAGTAACTAAATTCTTTTGACTGTGGCCCAAAGGAATGGCTTACCTTATATGAACATTGCTACCATAACTTTCTTAGGCATATACACATGTGAATATCCACACACCAACTTGCTTTATTGTTAAATAATAGAATAAATGCTTCTTTATTGTGCAAACTTTTGCAATTGGCAATAGGGAATACTGCATTTTAAGTGCTATATTTTAAAATCTATTTATTAAAACATGTATTGTGGCTTCTTAGCTCCATCGATGTCTAGGAAGCAAGTTCTCATCAGCACCGTTTAGAAGAGTGCCATGTACAAAATGCCAAAACAATTTTTAAGAGCTACTGTCCTTCAATGACATGGAATCTATTCAGGCTCTAGGAATAATTCTGAACTTTGCAAGGCCATGCAGAAACGAAAATATCTGGTTATTTTAGTCTATGTGGGAGCCATCTGATTTCAAGTCAATTTGTTTAAATGTTTATTGAACGGCCACTTATACATGCCAGGCATGGTTCTAATTAATTAGAAGAATTAATGAAAACTGATCCGGCAGAAAGGGGGTTAGGGTATCCCAGGAAGAGTGAAGGACCTTTGCAAAACTCTAAAAAGTTGAGCAGGGAGGAAAGAAAAGTATCAGGTGGAGGATTCAGAGGCCAGGTCATCAAAGGTCTTGGGGGCCAGGAGAGGGAGCTTCAACTTGATCCTTCTAACACTGGCAAACTGTTAAAGAACTTAAGGGAGGGAGGTGGTTTAATGAGTTAGTAAATAACTTGGTATATGGAGAATGGATTTGACTTTGCTTATTAACTGAGCCAGTTTTACCCTTGTTATCTATCAGTTCACCTAAATTTAGGTTAAAGAAAATAGAAACTTATGTTTGTGTTTATTGTGGAGTTTCAATAGCACTAATGATGTTTTTGAGAAACAGTATGATATCTATGATAGGATAAGAACTCCGCCCCGGCCTCAACTCAACAAGAAGGCTGAGCATCATCACCATTCTGGAGACATCTGTCTTGTATTAGAGGAGTAGAAGTTACACCGGTGCTGTGTAACATGGGGGAACTGATGTTCTTCTTGGCACCCTTTCATTTTCTTTGCAATAATGGACTAGTAATAGTATTTGTAATAATATCAGTACTTATTAATGGTATTTTGCTTCAGTACTTTAATGCATATTGTAAAATTTGACCTTCCTCTATTGATGGGGTAGGGTTCATAACAGCCCCACTTTATGGATGAGAAGACTCTTGAGAGTCCCTTGGACTGCAAGGAGATCAAACCAGTCAATCCTACAGGAAATCAACTCTGAATATTCATTGGAAGGACTGACGCTGAAGCTGAAGCTCCAATACTTTGGCCACCTGATGAGAAGAATTCAGTCACTGGAAAAGACCCTGATGCTGGGAAAGATTGAGGGCAGGAGGAGAAGGGGATGACAGAGAATGAAATGGTTGGATGGCATCACCAAACTGATGGACATGAGTTTGAGCAAGCTCCAGGAGCTGGTGTTGGACAGGGAAGCCTGGCGTGCGGCCGTCCATGGGGTCGCAAAGAGTCGGACATGACTGAGCAACTGAACAACAACAGCAATGACAATGGATGAGGAAACTGAGGTTCAGAATAGCCAAGCAAACTGGCCCCAAGCCACACAGCAAGTTAAATGGCAAAGACTGGACTAGAGCCTGTGTTGTCCAGCTCCAAACCCTGACCTGACCCTACTATAGCGCTGTTCTCTGAGAGGCAGGTTAACAAACAGTACGGTTTCCTACAGGGTTCTGCTTGCGACATCCATGTAGTAATCAGTTGAGGTATGATCTTGGCCTCCATTGATTACCAGTTCTTAGAAATGGCCTTGTTCTGGAAGGCAGAGAACTATTATCTGCAGATTTTCCTGCTTGAATATTTCAAGTATATGGTCACTAATACACAACAGTTCTTACAAGGACTTAAGATGTATGTTCCTAAGATGTGAAAATTTTTCTAGTGAATAGAATGAATCTTCTAATTCTACATTCAGAATTCCTCATTATTTTCTCAAGAATGGCTATTCATGTTCATTAGCTGTTACACAATGCTGAAACTTGTTTTTCAGTTGTATTAGGCAATGAGTCAGCCACAGTGCTATTATTCTGACAAGAGACCATAATTACATTTTAGTGAAGTTGTTCTAATTATTATTTTTTTCTTTTTTTTTAGCCACACTGTGCTAGCATGCAGGATCTTACACTCCCAACCAGGGATCAAAACCACACCCTCTGAAGTGGAAGCACAGAGACTTTAACCACTGGACCACCAGAAAAGTCCCACTGTTCCAATTACTATAAAATAAAATAGCTGATATTTATGGAGTAGTTGTACCAGAAGAAGCACTAAGAGGTTTATGTGTGTTATCTTATGGAACTCTCACAACAACCCCATGAAGCAGGTACTAAGCTTCTCTGGTGGTTCAGTGGTAAAGAATCCACTTGCTAATGCAGGAGACACAGGTTTGATCTCTGGGTCCGGAAGATCTCCTGGAGAAGGAAATGGCAACCCACTCCAGTGTTCTTGCCTGGGAAATCCCACGGACAGAGGAGCCTGGGAGGCTACAGTCCACGGGGTGGCAAAAAGTCGGACACGACTTAGTGACTGAATAACAACCAGGGAAGGAAACTGAGTCTCAGAGATACTGAGCGAAACGGGAAAAGGTGATGTCAGGCACTGCATCTCTGACTCCAAATATGCCTGACTCCAAAGCCTGTGATCCTGAGTGGTATAAATGAAACCTTTGCAGTCTTACACTATTTCCCTGGGTTTATATTTGAAGAATAAATTTTTTTTTTTTTTTTTTTTGGTTTCAGGGATAGGTTTTATTTATTTATTTTTATCTTTTTTTTCCCCCATTTATTTTTATTAGTTGGAGGCTAAAAGAATAAATTTGAAAGGAGCTTCAAACTCAGTATGTCTTTTTAATGACATGAAACAAATTGAGATATAAGCCTTTGTGTGACATGGCTGATATATATATTTTTAAGTCTGGATTTTGCAAATATCAATGGTGAAAAGGGTAAACTAAAAAATTTAAACTGGGAATGCAACCGTCCTTGGAAGCTGGAAAATCAAATAATTGTGCTATTTTCTCTCGAATAGATCTGATTCCTTCTCTTTTCTCTTTCCTAAGTAAATCCTATATAGATGGATAAAGCAAAGAAGTGGTGAATGGGCACTTCTAGCAAAAGACGCTGCCCATCTCTTTGCAGATTCAAGGTCAAACATAGTTTTAGCATCCTTGCAATTGAGATGGTGTGCTAAGCTTTCTTTTTGCAACACCTGAAGAAGTCAAGTCACAAAGCGACTGACTTTGTCTCTGAAAAACCTTTAGAAAATCCATTTACACCTCTGATGTGAATGACCGGGTGAATATATTTCAATGACTTCAGTGGAAAGGAGAAAAAAACAAACAAAAAACTGTCAAACCTGAGACATTGAGATTGAGCCACATTAAAATACAAGCCAACCCCCCTACCTCTGCAAATAACAACAAAAACAACAAAACTGACTGCACTTCTCTCAGGAGTAGGACTTGCACAAAAGGAAAAAATGAAGTAAATTATCATTTTTTAAAAGTAGAAAAAATTATCAAAAGGCTTCGTTGCAAAAACTATCGTGATCACACAGCTACTAAAACTAACATAAGGCTTCTGTCTCCAGGATATGAAATGTTAAGCCATGGAAGAGGTGCTTTTTACTTTTTAATAAAAGGGCAGTAACTCAATTTTCACAAAAACACAGAATCAAGGTTTTGTGAGGGATCTTAGATGAGACTGATCCAGTCCTCATCTGAAACGTGACCCTCCTCTGTCCCTTACTTGCTTCTGATATAACACGGTGATAGCCAAGCTCTTGCCCGAGAATGTGCAGACAGACAGCTGTTCCTGCTCTCAAGGCACACAGGCCCCAGCGGACACTCTTTCACGATGAGGAAGTCTTTCTCAGTCTGAGCCCACTTTTGCT